AGCTATCACTTCTACCAGTTTTTCAAATTATTGTTGCTTTTCCACAATAACTTTTCACTTGAAACGGCCTCAAGCTCATAAAAATTGTTGAATAAATAGAAAATCATTTATTGGCTCCTGTGTACAATGATATTATAAGGGTATTTTATTCTACATGTTAATGTGTACACTTAAGTTATAATGAATAATATTTTTATTTTGCATGAACTACATTTTATTTATATACCAAAATATTGTTGAAAACAAGTACTCTGGCGTTTTAAATTATTATCTGTTACTTCATTCATAATATTTCTTTGAATAAAAGTGTTCTGAAAAGTACTGATTTTTATAGCATGAAAAAGTCTAAGGTACTGATTTCGCGCATAAAAAATCTGGCAACCCTAAACGCAGCAGAAATATGTTTCTGGTCCGGAGAAGAAGAATGCGGAGCAATCCGGCTGCAATCAAAACTATCAATGAAATCTTATGAAAGCATAATAAACTGTACGAAGTCTATACCTCTGGCGGGGCAAAATGGCCTAGAAGCCCAGCCCTTTCGTATATTTTAAAAATGCATTTATAAAATAAATAGATATTGTGAAAAATTCTCCGTGCCAATACTTTTTCCGGCAGTGCACATGCTAAGCAATAACTGGAAGATTTTCAGTGATTTCGAAACATAAATAAAATATAGAAATACATACATATGCATACACATTTGTACATATCGATGGTCCTGTGCAATAACGACACAATTCAAAATTGAAAAAATAAAAACTGTAGTAGTACCAGCAATCCTTACTGCTTACTTTAAAAAGGGATGGAAATGGATTAGACAAGGATTAGAGACATAAGCCACTTAACAGTAGTAACAGTTTTTGTTTTATGAGTTTTGAATTGTGTCGTTATTGCACAGGACCATCGATATATTGAATATTTGTGTCTTTGACTATTATTTTTGTTTTGTTTCAGATTTTACTGGATTCCAAATATAGACAGTCTTTATAAAAACCTGAGATTGTTTAACGATTTTTTCGAGCACATTAAAGATTTGCCTCCTTTTAAAGGACCAGTGATGTTTATCTGCGGAAATAAGTCAAATTTTGTTGAGTAAGGATCTGTGAAATTTTTTGTTTTTAGCAGATATTAAATTGTTGTTTTCCCCTACAGCCCGAAGAGTTGGCCGCAAATTCAACAGATGTTTCCTGAAGCGGAACTACATTGGCTTGACGCAGGGCATTTGGTTCATTTCGAACAACCAGAAAAATTCATTAATTTGGTTGTCCATTTTTTAAAACGCTAAATGATGGTGTTTGAATATATCATATAATCAAGTAAAGTTTATTGTTCGAGCTTTAAAAGTTTGAGTCTAATGCTGGATTTTCACTAGACATCAAAAGGCAAAAATGTCAAATGACAAAGTCGGGCATTAAAAAATAATCGTGTCATTACATTGAAACTACAGTCATTAAGTTCATTTCCACATGGCATACANTTTTTCCTACCAAAATTTCCTACCATAACCCACCAAAACCTACCAAACATTGTTTTGAGTTTTAATATTTGTTTTCGATGTCAAATTTTTTAAAAACATAGTCAACATAAACTTGTAAAACTAAAACACAACTAGATTATTAAAAACAAATTAACTGCGTATAACGATTCATTTTACTGTACAGACTTATCCATATGTACATATGTCTCTTTACACATACATTCATATCGTCACTAGATAGGAATATGGACGCGAGCTCAAAAGTTGATAGCGAAAAAAGAGGAGTAAAAAAATTTCGGCGAAGAAAGACTCTTAACATAGGTGACGGCATATAAAGCCGCGTTAACGTCTTTGACAGCGAAGAAAGACCCATAAACTTATGTCGGCGGTCAACTATATTTTCGNAGTCAGTGGTGATCGTCGGTTCGAATCCTACTGAAAGAAGTCTGATGAGGAAATGTGGTGATTTCCGAAATAGCTATCACTTCTACCATTTTTTCAAATTATTGTTGCTTTTCCACAATAACTTTTCACTTGAAACGGCCTCAAGCTCATAAAAATTGTTGAATAAATAGAAAATAATTTATTGGCTCCTGTGTACAATGATATTATAAGGGTATTTTATTCTACATGTTAATGTGTACACTTAAGTTATAATGAATAATATTTTTATTTTGCATGAACTACATTTTATTTATATACCAAAATATTGTTAAAAACAAGTACTCTGGCGTTTTAAATTATTATCTGTTAATTCCTCCGGCTGCAATCAAAACTATCAATGAAATCTTATGAAAACATAATAAACTGTACGAAGTCTATACCTCTGGCGGGGCAAAATGGCCTAGAAGCCCAGCCCTTTCGTATATTTGAAAAATTCTCCGTGCCAATACTTTTTCCGGCAGTGCACATGCTAAGCAATAACTGGAAGATTTTCAGTGATTTTGAAACATAAATAAAAATAGAAATACATACATATGCATACACATTTGTACATATCGATGGTCCTGTGCAATAACGACACAATTCAAAATTGAAAAAATAAAAACTGGTACTACTACTTTNACTGTCTAAATCAAAGTGAAATTAAAAAAAAAATTTATTTTTATAAAACAAAAATTTAATGTGGAGTAACTTTTTGCGCAGAGTAATTGCTACCATTTCAACAGTTAAATAAAATATCTAATGTATGTTGTTAAGAATCAAAAGGCTCTATTACCTTGTTTATACCGACACATAAGGCGCTTTGACCCAGTTCGCTGTGATTCAAAACGCGTTGAAATAGAAAAGTGTTACTACGTTTATAACCCTGCCTATCCTATATTTAAGTCAGCGTTGCCACAGACAAATTTTTTTTCCTACCAAAATTTCCTACCATAACCAACCAAAACCTACCAAACATTTTTTTGAGTTTTAATATTTGTTTTCAATGTAAAATGTTCTAAAAACATAGTTAACATAAACTAGTAAAACTAAAACACAATTAGATTAATAAAAACAAAGAAAGTGCAACAGTATTCCCCAGAACTCTCCAAAGAGTTTTTCCGAGCTCTTTATTCGTGTCTAGTGACGATATTATTATTATTACGTCGAAGATACCCGCGCTGCGACCTAAGAAGATATATTGTGCTAAATTCAAATTGTAATCACTCCAACCTTAGGCTATTTAAAAAGCTCAGCACTCTGGATGAGGCCATGTTCCAAATTTTAGATGGAGAAGTCAATCGTTCTCCAAGGTGTATCAATCTACGATTCATCCTTCGTCGACAGGCACATAGAATATACTCTGGGGTTTCTTTCACCAGCCGTCTACAGTCCGTCTCTACAGACCCATTTAATTAAAACCGTACGTTAACTTGCAGTGTGCTGTCAGGTTGCCAGTAAGAGTTCTAAGTTCAAGGTGTCTTTCGGAGTTCCTGCTGGGAAGAGTTATGCATATCTTTGATTGTCTTACTCCCTTTGACTTCCGCCAGTGGGCAGCAATTTGAGATTATTCCCAGCTAGCTGCTAAGTAGGTCTGCAGTGTATTCTTTAGATGTACCGCAGAAAGGCTAGGGACCATGCAAACCCATTTGGGCTTCACGCTTTGCGAGACAGTCAGCCCTTTCGTTGCCTTGAAACCCTTCATGTCCATGAACCCTCCACAGCGTGACGCTATTGTGGGCTCACTTGTGGTTTAAGAGTTTACAAGCCTTGATGCCGTTTTAAAAGACTCTTAGGCCTTTAATGCTGCCTGAATGTCCGACATAATATTTATTCTGGTCTCATTTGCCTTCTACGATGACATTCGCGAACACAGACTTCGATTGGGAAGACCTCCGCCTGAAATATGGTTGAGTACGAGCACATTGGCAGACTTTTCTGGAATCTTGGTCCAAGTCAGCGTTGCCAGGTTGACGTTTTTAACGTCATTTGGACGTTTTTTGTACGTTGTTGACGTTTGGACGTTTTTTGTGTAAAAAAATGACGTTTTTTAACTTCCCAGTAATTTTTCTTTGTTACTAAATCTTATAAGCAGAACTGATTTTGAATTATTTTCTTAATAAATCTTTACAATCTTTGTGTTTTGCTGCAGCTGCTTCCTCCAAAGGATCCCTTGTTCAACGGCTGGTTGTGTAAACACTTGAGGTTACGAGGCTTGCTGTAATGATGCAATTGCACATTAAAAGCCAAATCAGGTAAAGCCGATCTATTGCAGCAGGCACGCTCGTAAAAGCATCAAAAAAGCTGTGCAGCATAAAACATCAGAAAAAAGTAGGCGACTTTTTTAAGACTTCATTGAAAATGTACTGAACGCAAAAAGTACTGAAATATTAGGTCCATTCAATAACTTTTCCAGTAAGTACTTGCAGCGAGAGCGTAAAAGAAAAATAGAGAGTAAAATTGAGAGCAAGAGAAAATTTTCAGAAAAAGTTATTGAACGCAAAACTAGTAAAAACTTGCAACTTAAGCCATTTTGATACTTTCTGACGGTTAAGTTTTGGCGCGCAATTTTCTTTTTAATTGGGAATAGTTCCCATCGTGATAAAAATAAAAAAATATACAATAGATTTAAATTTTTCATCCATATTTTCATTTCACTAATTATGTTTCATCAAATCATGCTCTTAAATAGGTGTTTACATTTGAATTTGAAACATAACATTACTTTTGGACTCCTGGGTTGTTACGCTCTCGAATTCGCTCCCTCTTGAATGCATTTCCAGTAAAAACTTGCAAGTACTAGTAACAATTCGTAACAATTTTTTGATATTGAATGGACCTATTGCTATGCTCCTTCTTAGCAGAACGTAATTTAGGATTTTCGACAACCGAGCCCCTAACCAAATTTCTACAAGAAAAATCAACGCGATTATTTAGCCCCTTTAAACTTCACATTATTGCCCTGAAATTTAATGGGCTAAAAAATCTGAATAGAAAGTTGAAAATCTAGCTGAAAATTTACAGATTGTTTATAATTTTTGCACAATTTTTGTGGATTTATATTTTGTTTGTTAATGAGCTTGGCTTTTATGGAAAAATAATCAACATTAAATAAACGAAAGGGAAACAGCCAAAATCGATCAAAATGTTGACGACTTAATCAGTTGATCACAAGTGAATGTATAAAATGATTTTTATATTAAGGATCTCAAACCAGTTTACAATAAATTTTAACTGTGCTCTGTCGAAATGATATTTTAATATACTTTACGTACATATCGAGCCCTAACCGCCAAAATAACGTAAGCGACATTTTTTTCAAAATTTTCTTTTTGATGCATAAATGCATCTAGATGCTCTAGGAATATTTCTGCATCAAAAAGAAAATTTTGAAAAAAATTTCGCTTACGTTATTTTGGCGGTTAGGGCTCGATATGTACCTTTGTATACAATAAAGGTTTAAATAAGAACAATTTTTGTACATTCATTTGAAAAAGACGTTTTTGGGTAGGAAATGACGTTTTTTCAGACCAAGAGGGACGTTTTCTGATGCCGAAGACCTGGCAACATTGGTACAAGTACACCATAAATTATATCGCTACCTAAAGGTGAAAAGGTGCCAAGTCCATTTTTTTTTCAAAGTTTAGTTTTTGGTGCAGAACCGGTAATACGAAACTACGTAGATTTTTCGTCTCTCCTGAAAAATTTCAAAAAATGGACTTGGCACCTTTTCACCCTTAGGTGACGATATATGGATGTCCGTATTTCATATTGGCAATAATAAGGTATACGTTTGTACTTAGGAATCAGGTATATTTACATGTTTGTGGCCGCCATTATGCGAACGCACCGATGAAATATTTGTGTAAAAAGGGTTGCTAAAATGTTTGCAGATACGTACATATTTTCTATTTTTCGCAAATAATTATTACTCATTGTCCCGAAACCTACCAAAATCCAATCAAGCGTACCAACCTACCAAATGGAAAAAAACTACCAGTTTTGGTAGGAAAAGCCCATGTTTGGCGACACTGGCTTGGAATCAAATTGTAAAAATTCGAATGGCAAAGTTGGGCATGCATTTCCACATGACATTTTTTAAACGCCCCACATTTTTTTTTTAATTTTAAAGCCTTGTGGAAATTCGGTATGTGACGGACGAAAAATAGTAATTACTTTTGAAATTTTTATAAATAAAAGTGTCCCTAAGTCTCACAAAAACCTTTCGATGGTATGCACACTACATATGTATGTATATTAGGGCGGGTAAATTTTTTTTTGACATCGTTCTCCCATAATAAATTTTTAATCAGCTCTAACTTCGGAATTATAGTCACATGAACTCAAAATTTGAAATGCACAGATACCTATGGTAGGTGCTTATAGAAAGATATATGTATATAAATGACTTTGTAAAAGGAGGCGTGGCACATCTCATAGGTG